CTAAAACTAGTCAAGCATGACCAACCATCAGTTTTTATCTGTAATCTTAAAATTAGGGTAGTTAACTAAGTCAGTCCATTGACTTTCCAAGTTTTAGCCTCACAGAAGATTAACAATATTTACACGCACACCATGCTCTGCCCTTAAAACACTATATCAATTCAAAGGGCTTAGTTTTCTTCAATCTGCGGTATAAATTCTGATCATCTAGCAGCTGGCGGGCTTCTGCGTTTGGATGTAGGTGTAGTCTAGCTTGGTGTTTATTTGCATACCGTTTGATTTCCTGTTCAACAGTCAGGATTACAAGGTCTCTGTGAAGATCATTATTTCTGACAAACCATGGGGCATTGGCTATTTCACGTAATGCCTTATTTTGGACCATTTGAATCTTTTTTATGTGTGTGCTTTTTGTGCATCCCATAGCTGAATACCGTAGAGCCATGTAGGTTTAATAATTTGTTTATAAATTAAAAGTTTGTTATACAAAGTAATCTTGGAATGCCTGCCAATCAGCCATCTACAGGGTGATTCAAAATTGGCGTCATTCCTTTTAAGGGGTGATAGAGGCTCACTTGGAGAGTATGAGAAAAATATAGAAAAATTTTTTTCCGAAAATTTATAGAAGATATTAACAGTTCAAGATCGAACATATTATATACACATATTATACATAAACATCGAACATATTACACATAAACATAATTTTAATAAATAAACAAATTTAGAAAAAATTGGGGGTTTAATACAATATGAAATCAATTTTAATCCGTTGATCTGCTAAATTGTCGTGCATGAAAGCAGCGCTGATTGCCGCTTCGGACTGCAGAAACCTTTCAGTTTCCTCCATAGTTATACTTTCATCGATTTTCTGGCTGGTGTCAATGGCAATATACCACCGCTGTAGCAGCAACAATTCTGGTGGTATGTCGTAATGATACTTCCAAGCACTTTTCTAAACCTTTAAAACGACCTTTCCACACCAAACGCGCCTTGACTAACATTCCTTGTTGAAATACATGCGTTATTATATCGAAGCTCGGCTCCTCTTTTTGGGTTTTTCAATGTTTCTGAAGTATACATATGCCTATTCTGGACATAAGCACTATCTCCATGGAACTGCCATAAAAAATTCTGCTATCATGATCAGAACCTGGCTAATAAATAACAATATCCTTAAGTTCGGTCCAGCTACAGCTTCATTGTTCATGCATTTGATCCATGTTGACTTGCTATTTCAATGTGGGTTTCATTTATACACCCAATCACTCCAGGAAAACTTGCAACTTGATGAAACTGCCGGATTTTAATTGGTGAAAATGCACCAAAATAAATCTTGAGTACGCTATGAGGGGACGAAAAGCCACACTAATTTCTCACTCACTTATGGTACTTAACGCGCATGTCTTCAATTCAAAGTTAGGGACAGTTTAGTCACTCATTTAAGAAAATGGTTTCTGAATACGGTTAGGATGAGATGAGTCTGATTTTAGTGTGAGTGATGGTTGAGTGTCGTTCTTGACTCGGGCCTTATTCAGTATTACAGCTACTCCCTTTCTATGGAATGCATCTCGTGTTCCGGGTTTATAAATTGTGTGGTTGCCAGAGTCAAAACTGGTTGCGTCTGGTCATCTTGTTTCACATAGTCCCAGTATTTATATGCCTGTTCTTTGAATTGCAGACGGTAAACGTTTCAGTTTTTCCGCGCTACAAAGTGTTCGCACATTCCATGTTCCTATTCTTAATCTATTCTTCCTTTTCCACCCGGGGATTTTATTCGATAGTTGCAATCACTCATTTAGTAATTATTTTATAGTCGAAATCATGCGATAGTGCCCATCACTACCATTAACCAGTGTCAGTTTTCGTCTGTATCGGGTCATTTCGCCGGTACTTCCCATACCTGGGAGACATTCCACTATCCGCCGCCTGGGGAAGCGCCCGATGGGGGACTGACAACCCCACACGTGTTGTTTTAGTTACACCGTGCAAGATAATTTTAATAGCGGATTTTCTCGAAAACGGGCCATTTTAGAGAGATGTGGCAAGTAAAACTTTTAAAAAACCTAAATTCGAACGCTCTTTAATTTTTGTACTCATAGGTAATAAGTGTACCAAATTTTAAATCAATCGGATAACCATTTTTAAAATCTAACTTTAACGCCCTGTGGATCAGTTATTATTGAGTTGCTTAAAGGCGGAATTCGTATTTTGATAGAAGGTCTAATTTTACCGATATTATAAGTGTTGCTTTTCTGATCGATTTATTGAACTCTCCAAATTTAAGTAGAAATACAACAAACAATGCGACTGCCAAAATATCAAAACATGGAGTTTATCTATGTTTAAAATACGTTTTAAAATAATTTAATATAAATCGGTAGCAACTATACAAGAATGTAATAGAATGGGTAGGGCCAGTTGCCCATCTTCTTTGTAAGAAGGCTAATATCGCATGGCAATATAAGTTGATAGAAAGTACGGTCAATCTGAAAGCAAATAGGTATCATTATATTTATTTTTTAGAGCTCCGGTTAAAGTGACTCTTTCTGAGGGGCCGTATCACGTGGCACAGTTTAGGGACTCCTCAAGGGAATTTGATTTGACCAAAGAGAGTGACTTGGCTGATCTTAGGAGAGAGGTCGAGTTAAGAATGAGAAATAGTGTGAAAGGGGGCAAAACTGTGTCCAGTGAAGTAATTTCCATGACTGTGAAAGGTATGATGCTGAATTATCTTTCTTTAATAGATAAATGTAAAGGTGATTCAATTTCTAGGTCCAGGACTGCAAAGGATGGTGCTTGTCGATTTGCCAGGTATCATTTCCGTAAGTGTTTCTTTTATATTTATAGTTGAAAAGGAATTTTCATAAAATATTGTTTAAAATGTCATTTTATTATGTATTCGTTTTTCAAGAAGTTCAGCCTTGAATTAAAAAATTTTAATTTATTTGCGCGAAGAACAAGTTATGCATGTGTCCATTTAAGCAAAAGACCTGAAGGGAAACTGTTTTAAATTATCGCACTGGAATAGTAGAAATTTACCTTATATTATGAAAAGAAAAGTTAGAAATAAATATAAAAAGCAAAACAAATAAAACCTCTTACAGGACGTTTTTGTTGACATATTTGACGGATTTAAGCATATCACTCATTTTTTGAACGGCTGTGTTTAAATTTTTGGTGTAGGACATCCTATGTCAATTTGAAGAAGGTTAGTTTAGTTCTGACTGTAATTGTGGCGCCGATAAGCCAACATCTTGGTGCTTTGCGGTTTTATGTCAGAGAATGCATCCAAATTTCTGGTGGAGATTTTAAGGGTTTGAGCACATCTACACCACATCCAATTGTACATAGGGTAAGCTCCGCGATAGAGCTGGTATTCTAGCCTGGGCCTTTTGTTTTTTCTAGCCTTTTGTGAGATTCCAGCCAAACTGTTTACCCAGTAAAATCCTTCCTCACCGCCGATGTACACCGCCTTCCTCCGCTTGCCTTGTCCATTCCATGAATTTTCTAAGAATCTGAAAGAGCGCTCGCAGGGCTTAATTTTCGGGAATTCTGTACACAGTCTAGTACCCTAGTACAATCCTAATTCCCGCTTGCCGACTAAGACTATGCTCACCTTATAGAAAATCGCGTAAGAAACAACATTTTCCCTATACATTTTTCGACCGAATGCCGTTTTCCACCACTTTTCACCCTCTGAAATTCACCAATTTTCAAAACAAAACAACGGTCGCCCTGATGGTTCAGCTCTTTGCGCCGGCGTGCCAGTCGAAATTTTTCGCGTAGTTGCCAGTACTGTAGGATTTGCTATTTCAAAGACAGTTCTGTTCATTTTGACATTAACAGTAAAAACAGCAAATGCGGTTGCCCAGCAATATTTTCGGTTGACAGTTGAGAGTTGTCAAGAAAAGAATGAAGGCGGAAGACGAAGGTTCTTGGTCAACAAAAAGACGCGAGACGAAAATAAAAAGACGCGAGAAACGAATATAAAAAGCGTAAAGACGAGGGATTAGAGAACAAGTGGGTGCAAGTGGCTGTATTTGGCGTTAATAGATTGCTATAGTTAAAAAGGCGTTTCAATACACCTTGAGACCACGAAGAGAAAAACCTACAGTACTATATTAGCACTTTCTTAAAGCCGGGTTCTCATGAGTCCGGAATGCGGAAAACCTTCCAACCAATGAGAAGTTTGGCGGATGCGTTAGCTCCACCCATCCGCCGAAGTTCCCAAATTTTTATATTTTTTGCATGGAATGCGACGTTCGGAAGAATGTGAAAACCTAGGTTATCTCCAGTGATGCTCTAGTGAAAGGTTATGTTCAGCGGTGTCTATTCGACCTTCCTTCCTTTTGATGTCTTTGTTTCCTTCTTTTTAGAACGTACAAAGGCAAAAGCATATTTAACTTTTGGTTTCGAACGTTCATTTTATGCGCCTCAAAATACTGGAAGAAAAAATGTAGAAAAAAGAGTTGTATCGTGTCTCGCTTCCTGAAAGATATGCAAACACTGTCGGCCAATGCGGAAAAATAATCCGGCTACATGTGAACTGCGTGAATTTTTCCGCGCGTAGTAATGGTAGTAGTAGGCACTTTCCGCACTCCGCTTCTACAAAGCATTTTGGACCCATGAGAACCAACCTTTACATTACCACTTGCTTAACCTTTTCATGTAAACAAGTCATTTATTATACTTAACTATTTAATATAAAATAAATAGTAATTAGTAATACCCAGATCATATATTTTTACTACTATTCCGATTCTCATCATAATTCCAATTAACCGATTAAGAACTTACACGCGTTCATAGACATCCATAGAGAAACCAAAGCTGAAAATACACAATTTATTTTATATTTCAAACCGCTGGCTGCAATCAGCTGGGCTCCGGCTAAATTAAGCGCGCAATCATATGTATGAGCTGATCAGTGTCGTCTAATATTTCCTGTGTGCACGTAATTCTGCTGTTTTCAATCTTGAATGAATTGTTTTTTGTTTTCATGTTTTTTTT